ACTTCGTTACATAATTGTCCGTGTGCAACACAAATTTGAAGTTTGGGGCATGGGCCAGCCCGGGAAAAACCTCCAAAACTGCACTAGGTCCTGCGAAACCATCAACCCCCCTATCAAACGTAGAAAATTGGAGTGTCCTCCCGCTCCTGTGAAGAGCGACCAGTCAGAAGACACACAAGTAGCTCTGGGCCACACATTGACACAAAATCAGACTCACCAACTAAGAAAGAGTTGGAAAGAGCTGTCTGAGAAGGCTATTAAGGACTGAACTGTACTAGGTGTGCTCAGAGCCAGTGAAGAGCTGGACGTTAGAGTATACTCTGATGATATTATGATATCGCTTGGCAGTACAGGAAGCTCTGAGCATAGTATTAAGGCTGGCTGGGCGTATTTGGAAATACTAGACAGCCGTTTCAACTTTGAAAACCAGTTGGTAAAGCACTGTCAACGTTGATCTGTTTCAACCTGTGTGCATACGGCCCAATATTAACCGCGAGGGTTGCAAGATTTGTTCTGAGAGTGTGTAAATCGTACTGGCGCACGTTGCTCTCATTTATGCGTGTTGAATCATTTCAGCTAGCCAGTTTGGCGAGGGAACTCGCACGGGTAAAGTGTCAACTGTGTTTCTTGCGGAACTCGGAAAGAAATCGGAACGCAGAGGGCCGGAGAGAGCACCGTCAAGTCATTGACCAAACTCACTCCGTGTCAAGGGTGACTGCTGTGCCTGCCTGTGGCTTTGCGCATTTCCAGTTGACTTGCGCTGTTTTCGTCGGCCTATTCATAGGCTGCATTCTGTCCCTCAGTCGTTTGTGCCTGGGGATTTGGGTTGGGCACATCCTGTGAGAGATCCCCCTCATTCTGGCCGTGGCTCATCTGCCTCATCAGGCAGCCACAATGATGGCCAGTGAACACAAGGGAGACGACGGGTGGGCTGCGCAGGGTGACTCAAAGGTGCAATTTGAACCTGGGGATCACTAGCCTCCGTCCATTGGGATTTTTGGACACCCTAGTACTGTGGGTCAGTCAAAGTACGAAAATATGAGGTGCCGCCAACCTTGGCGCCCTCGGGTTTGGCGGGCTTTGGCGGGGCTGACCGGGGGTGGCTATTTAGATCCCCCCTCGGTACCCCTCTTTATCTTGTTTCGCACCCGGTGCTCCCTCCCTAGAAAGTGGTGTTCGGTTTATTTGTGGAATGGAGAGGGAGTGAAGGGAGTGAAGTACGGGATTGGGGGACTGACTCATGGGGTGGGTCACTCTCTGAGTGGCATTAAGTCCTAGGGAAGCGAATGGCCAACTTACGGATGGGAACCTCGGGTACAATACGTTGGTGATTGTGATGTTGTAAGTGTTTTGTCATGGGGGAGTACATGAGCGGGTGGCCTCAGGAGACCGGTAAGGCAGAAACCTGGTGCCTTGTTGCCTCCCCGTCCTGGGCTTTGGAGGGGCAGGAGCGCCGGTCGCGCAAGCGCTCTTACCAGCGGATCGAAAACGGAGCGCGCTTTTGAGTGGGCTGTGGCTCACCTCTCGAATACGGCACGGTTTCGTTCATGGAAACCCCACAACATGGCTGCCGGCGCCACCCTGCCTAAGGCAATGCTCTCCCTCCCAACACCTTGCCACTACGGCCAGCCTGGTGATGGAGGTGAACGACGCGCTCTCCGCGAGTCCAATCCATCTAGACGCACTCGCAGAAAGTCCTCGTGCCAGAGGTTGGCAGGAATGTAGGGTCCGGGCGATCACAGATTTCGAGATCTTCCCTCAAACGCACAAACACTATAAACACTATATAGGGCCGGCGTGAGGCTAGACCGCTGAGCGGTGCCGACGATCGATGCCTGTGGTGGCTTGACTAGAAGGAAGTGTATTATCGGCCATTCGCAAGGCCTGCTGAGCGGGAGTGAGGCGCTTTCACTGGTAGAAAACGGCATGTTTGCGATGCCAACTGCGATGCCATTTGCACACAAAATGATGCCGTCACAGTGACTGCGACGGCATAGAAAGTGGCTGTGATGGCATCAATTTGTGTCAAAATGGCATCGCAAGCATGCTGTTTTCTACTAGTATTTGTGACAGAAAACCTAGTGTGGCTGCCCGTCCTGGGATCGTCACAAATTTTACTGCGACGCGGCCCCCGCGATCGACACGAGGGATCGATGTTGGACAGTGAACAACTGCCATAGAAAGTGTTTGGGTCGCTCCCCACGGCCTCTTGGGAGATGCCAAAGCCGGGCAGGGCAAAAACTTAGAATGCATCCATTCCCAGCCCCCCCACCCCATTCCTGAGTCGTCCATCCGTGGACGCAGCCGCGGGCATCCGGACCCAACGTGCGTGCAGGTGGCCGCCAGTGGCTATGCAGCGCAGCCTGGCCTTTGACCTGTGATTCCCCGCGCGCGTTTTGAACTGCAAGGCCACATCGAACGTTTTGGCGGCAAACAATTTTCCTGTTGGGCATCGTGCAAAGGCAACGAAAGTGGTAACCGACGGCGCATGTTGCTGGAGCGCTCTCAGGTCGCAGTCACGGCAGTCAACACGGTGTGAACCACCATCGCACGGTGTCCCGGAGTTTTGGCCCCACTCTCGTGCTGCCCCGGCCAACAACAAACTTGTACGGCGGCGGCCGCAGGTGTCCGATATTTGAGTACTTGATAATGGAGTTAACTACGGCCATAAGAACAACCCTCTCTGCAAATTTACATTTTTGCGCATAAAAACGTAAAGGTAAAAAATGTGAAGGTAATTGTAAAAAACAAGCCTGCCCAGAATGGAACATAGTGCGTAGGATGTTAAGCATAAAAATTCGAATAATGAGGTCACTCTTGGCATCATAGCTGCTGCTGGAAAACAAATATGCCTCGTAAATCAGCCCATGCATGTGGGGGCACCAAATCCAAGGATTCCAACTTAGCTGACTAGTCTAGTCGACAAAATCAACCATTTGCTATTGACACACCATCTAACGAGCTTTTTGCACTCTCGCATGCTTGTTATTTACGTTTGCAACACCATTTTTATGGTCATGGTCATTTGCGCAAAACCATAAGAACATAGAAACGGCTATTAATATGTCTATATTCACGTACTTTTGCCACCTTTTGAGACAACCAGTTCACATCATGAAGTCACAAGCAATGACCAGTCCTCCCACTGGTAGAAAACGGCATGTTTGCGATGCCAATTGTGATGCCATTTTGACACAAAATGATGCCATCACAGTGATTGCGATGGCATAAAAAATGGCTGTGATGGCATCAATTTGTGTCAGAATAGCATCGCAAGCATGCTGTTTTCTACTAGTGTCCACTTGCTCGAGCACCTGCAAGACACTGTCCACCTCGCCTCCGACAAGGGCAAAGATGTCATCGAACAAAGGCCGTCTTCTGCCCACTCTAGCGCCTTTGGCATCTACTCCCCGGATTGCCTGAGTTTGTATGTCCTGTCTTTATGTACACGGGGTCTGTATCTACGTGTTTTTGCGTGTTTTTATGCATAAAACGTAAATGCGATCTGTGCTTATGGCATAAATAAATAAGTCTATGCTCTGGCCCAGGGCACCCAGGGGTCGCGCTTGGCGACTCTTCCTTTTGAGATTTCCCGACGGGCATCAAATACGCTGTCAGTTCATCACTTACCGTTTGGCAACCATGCGGCAAGCACTGAGCAATAGGACACATGTTTAGTCATACACACATGCATCATCAGTGGTAAAGTTGCGGATATCATCACCAGTAAATTTGGATGGCACTACACTGCGAAGGAATGCTGCCATGTTTCCAGAATAAATCAAAAGTTGTATTACATTATTTTAGAATAGTAGCATAAATGCTTATTCAAGCGCGTTCAAGCGTAAAGCTTCACAGCACAAACAATTTTGATCTTCAAAGACAGTGCGAGTATCACCACCTGTCTTAGAATTCTGAAGGGCCAGTAAATTGCATATCGGGCTCAGATAAATCACTCAAGTGCATTTGTCGAAGGGTGGAACCTGATTTACTTAGTTGGTAGTCATTTTTCTGCAGTTCCATAATGCATATCTTCTACCTGCAAGTCAGTGCCAAGCACCAGCTGCACGCGAGTTTTCCACTTGCGATTGCAGTTAACACCAAGGCTATGGCCTTTAAGGAGGCATGTTCATGTAGCGAAAAATCGCTGGTGCAAAACAGTACAAAGCAGTCGTTTGAGAAAATACTCGTTCGAGTTTTCAATCACGAGGTGGAAGTTCAAAATTTAAACCGCAAGACTTGCAATCCAAAAGTTCTTTCAGAGAAAAATGGTACGAGCAAATAATATGAAGTGTTGAGCCTTGCTCCACTCTTCCGGAAAAAGTTTTTCGGTGCCACTTAGTGGCGCAATGTGTTCCTGATACCATTACAGCATTCCTACAAGACACACCACAAATCCACAATTGTGCAACCAAGAACTGATGCTGACCTTTAACTGCACACACACAGCCACAAACGCCATGCTCGCTTTACATTGTTGCCAATTTGCAGAAGGGCCGGCACGCCAAGGCCCCATAGTAGCACATTGGCAACAGGCTCCCATCACTGCGCTTCCACCATTCTTCTCTAGACATTGCCTCCCCTTTCCCCAAAACACCACCCAGCGGCTCAGCGAGTCCTGAGAGAAGCGAAGATGCAGTCCGAGAAAGTGGGCATAAAGGCCTCCACGGCTCCCGCCCGTACAGCTCCGCACCCTCCGCCACTGGTCGGTGACTGCTCTGTGTCCTCGTTGCCTATTTGACAGGCCAGAGACCGGCTTCTCGCCTTGGACGCAAAATGTCTTCTGGAGTATCCCAGCCCTACTGGGGAACTTTCAATTGTAAAATGTGGCATAAGCTTCAGTACTCTGTTGTTCTTGCCGATGGCCCATTTCCAAAAAGCGCATTGTGCAAACTGCCGCTGACCAGCCCCTCGTGCCATTTGGCGGCCGATTTTTCAATGTGTTGAAAACGAATGATGATTGGCGGCAGCGTGAGTGGCCCGCAGGGTCGTTGCGCCATTCACGCGCCGTCTTCCTGCAGCTGTAGGACCTTCTCTTCCATGGACACCCGTTGTTTTCGAGCCTTGGCCAGCTCGTCCTCCAACACGGATATGCGGGACATGATGTCGGACCTGTTGGGACGTACAGATAGTGCGGGAATATGTCAATCTGTCAATTAAATAAACGCAAATGTCCGATGCCCTTCATTTCCAGACATTAAGTAAGAAGGTGGCAAAGGTCGCGATGGCACGAGGTCGTGGAAGTCACGAAGGCAATGGAGGTCATGAAGCCATAAGGTCATGAAGTCATAAAGGTCGATGAGGTCACGAAGGGTATTCTCGGGTTTAGGTTGCATATATTTTTTTTTGTTTTGGGCTCCTACCACCATACGTCACGGATGATAGGGCGGGGTGTGCTGAATAGCATAGGGGACTTCAGATAACGCCTCCGGCGTTATATAACATGTTTACTAAATATGCACATGGCCAGTGTTGTGGAGCATGGGGGCATGGAAGATGGCATGGGGCGGCCCCATGGGCGGCCCCAGCGTGGCCGCTACGCTAGATAGATGCCAGCCTAGATGATCGACGCCACGGGGGGGGAGGGGTGGGGGTGGGGGTTTAACATACGCTTTGTGATCTACGGTACCATTCATGACATTCGTGACTTCCGTTACCCATTCATGACCTTCATATCCGCAACAAAAGAAATCCCTCTCAATAAGAAGCCTGTGGTGAGAATTTTTCATTTTCCAAATTCTATTTGTGAGCCATCTTCGAGTTCAAGTTGTTGGTACCTGCGATTTCAGGGTTCAGTATGTGGGATGAGTGCGAAAGGAAGTGAACGTGTTGCATGCAAGCCGTGCCTCACCACTTTGAGCCTATGTTGGCAAAACGGTCTGCGGATGTTTAAAAAACGAAGCTTTGGCGGAAAGCAGTGCGTCCAAGTATTATAAAGTACTAGGATTTATGTCCTTTTTCCAAAAATAATGTTAAAAGGATGCTTCGAATGCGATTTGCAAAGAAGACGAAGTGCAAATACCCCACAAAGTGGGCTGCAAATGCAAAGCAACCATTTTGATATGTTTGTGTTCTGTTGTTGCTTCGAGGTACATAATTTGTGGTGGTAGTAATGCAGCTCAGTTTGCATGGCAGGAGCTGAACCCTCCGTATATTGTGCCATCTTGCCTTCTTATTACAGAGTATCTATGCAGCGTGGTCATACCACATTTTATGGAGTGCCCTAGAACATAGCCCTAATATTGCAAGACAGAATCTGACTCATTATAATGTGGATTTGAACCTTAAATTTGTTACATTCCCTATTTTACAATGTAATTTGTGCTCATATGTGATAACAAGTTGAGCTATGATATTATTGAGACCTTATATGGATCATGCATGGCACCAAATGTGAGCTGCCTAGCAACATTGGTGGAACGTGGCAGCATCCAGCCGGCCACCCACCTTGCGCTGAGCGACCTGGATGATGGCCTCGACGCCGATGAAGCTGCCGAGCTTCCCACGCTTGACGGCGGCCTGCTGATGTCAACCCTCCCGTCCATCATGACGCAATGCTCGTCCACCTTCCAGCTTCCTTCCTTGTCGCGGACGTTGTCCTCCAGCAGCTGCGCCTTGGCTTCCAGGTGCCGGATCTCTCGATCCACGGCGTTAACCTTAAAATCAAGGAACTTCCGATTTAAAATTCGAAGTGCAAAGCCAACGAATCAATGAAATTTGATAAACGAGTAAGCGGACCACCAGCGAAGTACAAGCTGCACACGTCGAGGCATTTTAATATGGTTGTTTTACCGTTCATTTATTGTACTTCGTATATGGGATTAACTATCTTGTTAAGGGGTTTCCGCCCAGGGCGACGAGGGGCGGGCGCGCTGGCTCCAGTCGGACCAGCGCTACTTAAGTACGGCTGTTTTGGCGGCCCCTTGGGGTTTCTGTCCCCCTGTACCTTGGGTCAGTGGCCAGTTCGTCGCGTTCAAGGAGGGCCAGTGGTTCTTGGCGCCCTTGGGAGTGTTGGGCTTTGGCGGGCGCGAGCGGGGGAGTCTATTTAGGCTCTCCCCTCGGTCCCCACTCCATCTTGTTTCGCTTCCCGCCCGGCCCTCCCTATTAGGGTGATGTTCGGTTGATTTGGGCAAGTGTGGGAGTTAAGCACGTGGGAACGAGGTGTGGTGGGGCTGACTCGGAGGTTGAGTCATGTATGGGATTGGCTTAACTACTAGCGAAGCGGCTGGGCACACAAGTTGTGGGTACCTCGGGTTGTATTGGGACAAACAATGTCGTTGTAATGTATTGGTCCAGTGTGTGTGTGGACCTGGGTGGGACAAGGAGCCCGGCCCGGCGGAAATTTTTGCCTTTTTACTACTGATGTTTGCTGATAATGCTTCCCACCTCCCACGGATTGAGCGTTGCTCGCTCGAAGCGATGAACCACCACGCCGCTGAAAGCAATGCGCGCGCTGAAGCGCATGACGCAAGCAGCACCCGCAAGTCAGCGCAAGACGGCGCAACGTGCCTTTTGCGCTGAAGCTGCACAACGTGTCTCGGTTGGGCACTCCGCAATGTTGTGCACATTTATGCACACTTATATTGATGTACACGTACAATAGGGCAAGGGACACATGAGAACATGTATACTTGCGTACTAAATATCAATGCACCGTGGCAGAACGTGGCGCCACCCGTCGTCGACGAGAACCTTCCTATATCCTTTATTTCCGTACATGCAGGTAATGAAGGCGTCGTGAAAGTCACGAACGACACGAGGGTCACAAAATGATAAAACTTGAAAAAATTCTGTGCCCAGGAATGCCGGTCATGACCTCGACGCCCTGAATATCCGGGGAGAAGTGCATCAAACATTTGCGCCATCGCCGGCAAGGGCCGAAACCTGCGCTTTGCGCTGTGGAGCCAAGTGCAGCACAGCAACCACTCCGCAGAAATTGATCCCATTGTCAATGTAGACGTTCACATCATTGATGCGGAATGCGGTATGGGCATTCGCTCACGGAGTTCTCCGCAAGCAACTGCGCTCCACGCAACAGCGTAAAGGGGTGTATGATAGAGTACCGCAATGTTACATTTAGTACAACGTAAACACCCTTTCAGAAAAAACGTGGTACAAGCAAGTGCTGTAAGCAACTGATCCTTTCACTGCTTTCTCTCACAATAGTCTTAGTAGCGTAAAGCGATTGTGGTAGCTCTAAATAATTTCAAGTAATGTGGTGTAAAGCAACAGTGAAACAGCGTAATACCAATGAATAATAGATCAATAGATCGAGTTAAAATAATATATAACAAATAACAGATTGAGTTTTACCTTGTCCCGCAGCTGCGAGCATATGCCCGTGAGGTTTCGCAGCTCCGCCACCAGCGCCTGGTGGGCCTCGTCGTCCACCCGCTCGCGCCGCGGCCGCGTTTTTCTCACCACCAGTCTTTGCACGGCCTGCTGCGTGGGACCTCTGTCCAAAGGGCACCCAATCAGCGCAGGCACACGTCACAGCTGCTCGACATCGTCAGCTTGGTGAAAAAGCACCGTGCTCCAGGAGGAAAAAGATTTGTGTGATGCCAGATTCGATGCCGCTTGACACTCACACTAGGAGAAAAATGGCAAAATAGCACGTGTTCAAACGTGTATGAAGTTTACGGGTTTGTGCTATTTTTGTGTTCTTAGCGTGCAGAACTTTGATGAAGTGTGTTTTATGTGTGTTCAGAACGGTGTTATTTGGCCCCTTTTTTAGTGTCATTGGCACCGCCATAACGATTGCAACAACGTCGAAGGAAGTTTTGCGGCATCAAATTGTGTGAAATGGCGTCGCAGCTGGCATCGCAATTCTTTAAAAATTGTGATTACCGATGCCACCCAATCCGAAATTTTGCCACAAAACATGCACCACGTCATTCCAGAACTCTGAAGATCCGCTTTTCGAGGCGCCTCTCTCATCCAGTTCCCCATTTCCCGTTTACTCTTTCCTTTTCTTTTATAATTGTTCATTTTTCGCTCACCTTTTTGCCTCCAGGGCTTGTTCCAGGTCAAATTTCCGCTGTTTTGCTTCTTCTATCTCTCGGCGCGTTTCGTCCAGCCTCTGAGTCAATTTCGCCTTCAGGTCATCCGTCTCCTGAAGCTTTCCCAGCATCGAATTGTTGAGGCCGTTGTTAATCTGCGCCAGAGAACAAAGCTTAGTCGCGCCCCGGCCACAGAGGTTAAACCTAGTCCAACTGAGTTCAACATGGTGCCTGGTCGGGGGGGGGGATCCTATCCCAAGCTGAGATTCAACCCATTCCAGCTTGAGGCTCGAAATCTCAAACAAGGAGACATAAGCCCGGAAGCCCCCAAAGCCATTTATTTACTCTCTACTGGAACACCTCGTGTTGTTTACTTTTGCTTCGCCTTCTATCATTGCGATTTGCCTCAACGGCGTCAGTTAGGTAAATTTTGTAAAGCACAAAATTTGCACTTTAATACCTGTAGTGTTTTGGAATGAAAACTTGTTGCATCCGGACCTATAGTGGTGACAGAAATAATGCCACAATGACGCCTCCATGCAGCCACTCTAACCGAAGCAAACTGTTGCTCCTCCATCCATTCGGCAACAAACACGGCGCATTGATCGCGAACCCTTGAATTTATTTCTAAATTGTTCTGAAAGGCTGTTTCTCCAATCCAAGGAATTATTCAAATTGCGAGAATTATGCAAATTCGAAGATAATTGGGAAATGCACCTGTCCACGGAAACAGTGATCTCTATCCTGCCGGTGACTAATGAAGCTGATAGTGCAGTGTTCTCGACAGCAAATTCTCCAAGTACTCGTTCTTCTGTGATTTACGGCAAATTAAAAAATCAAATTTGAGTTGGAAGAAACTCGAGCCAGTGTATCATTCGAAAACTCCCAACTGCTTGACTGTGGGTGCCGGCAGAATGTGACAATAAGATTCCAATTGAAGTATTTGGCATTGGGTGCGCCACAGTTACAGCAAATTGAGACTGTGACAAGATTGTATCAGAATATTTTCCAGGAGCTCCAAATGACCCAGCTTCGGTCATGACAGCTATCACGTTAGATTGCTACAGACGTGAACTTGAGCACATTCAGGCCTGGGAGCAACGAAGAACATAAATGGAATAGTGCTGCTGATAGAGAATGAGCGAGTGTTTCCCTGAAACCGGATGCTTGAAACGACGTGATTGCGCCAAGGGCAGCTTCGCCAAGAGAAATTGATACGGAACTGCGTCGCACACGTGAGGCACTGCCTCGCAGCTTCGCTGCAACTTTCCGCGACAAATGAAAGCGAGTGCGGGGGCACATTGAATTATATTTTTTCTGCATTTGGAAGGCGGATTCCATCGCGGTAGTTGTGTTGCACAGTGGAATTGCACTAGTAAGAAGCAGGCCAAGTTACACGGTTTGAAAATCCTTTACCCTGTAACAGGGTTGAAAATCCTGTACCAATCGTGTTAAGTGGTGTATTTATCGTATAATTTTCGCATAAAAATGGGAACAAACCGTGGAGTAACAATGGAGTAATTGCACATGAGTTTTGCAAGTTTTGACGAGGCTTTTACAGGAGCATCATTTACTTTGCACAAGTCAGAATACGAGATACAACGCTGACCAACACCCATGCCGGTCATGTTTAGGGTGGTGAAATTCAAACAAAATCTGGTTTATGTTCGGCCCGAATGCACCCGAGTCGGCAGTGCTGCCGTTTCAAATCGTCGTTATGCGAAATTCCAACCAATCGCCGTGCAGCAACCTCGTTCCCCGCAGCTCGTCTGAAACCCAGTCTAAAAGCAATAGATGCGATAAATCATCCGAAATATCGAAAGAAATGTATTCATTTCATGAAAGTGAGGCTTCGGTGAGGTTTTTGTGAAAGTATTTTCAGGTCCTAAATTCTTTACAGCTGAACGCGCTTCTATGCGCCTGCGCTTCGGCACGCCCAAGCCACAGACCGCGGGCTTTTCAAACTTAAATCCCTTTCAAATTCTAAATTTTCCAAAGTTCTTAATCAGCAGCCGTGTCTGAATCACCTGCCTCGCAGCCTCGTCCTTCTCCGACATCATGCGCTTGGCCTCCTGTCTGAGCCTCGCCGAGTCAGATGACCACTTGTTGGCCTCGCGTATGCGTTCCTCTGTGGACTGGTTCCATTTGTGGGGATGCAGGCCCACTGCGCCCCCTGAGACGTTCGTGCAGGGCTTGGCGTCCGGCATGTCACCCTCGAGGACCCGCTGGTCCAGCGCCAGCGCCTCCACCTTCAAGCGCGAAATTCAAATTCATTTCCTTGACGAAATTCAGCTTTGCAATTCGAATATTTCGCACAAACTGTAACGAAGTCAGAATTTGTGAATGCCAAAATGAGAAATCTGATTGCGCATCGGCCGCCAGGCTGGCTTTTGACACTAGGAAAGAAACGGCCAAATAACACTTCTGCGAACACACATAAAACACATTTCATCAAATTTCTGCACGCTAAGAACACAAAGTTAACACAAACCCGTAAACTTTGCACACGTTTGAGCACGTGTTATTTGACCCTTTTTTTTCCTAGTGTGAGCGATGGTGGCAAAGGGAGTTTCGTGCGCAAATTCGACGTTTGAAATCGCGCTTGGGTTAGCTCCTTCCGTGGAGCATTGCAGCAACACATCACTACAAAGCGCCAATGTTTTTCTACCTCTTTTAGCTGAGAATTTAGTTTGGTGTTTAGGAATACAGCATCCAGGATTTGCATTTCTGTAGATTTGCAAATGCGGCGACAGTAGAGGCCACTTCTCTGATCGTTTCGGCCATGCTCAAAGCATTTATGGTGAATAGCAGGGTCCCATCACATAGATACTGGCCAACACTGCGTGTACTGGGTTTCAATTCCTGCTTGCACCCTCGGATCTATGGTTTGCCCAAGGATTTCCAATCCAGACTGGATCCGTTGATACACAACGGAATGAGGCGCGAGGTTACTTTCTCTTGAGAGAAGGGAGGATTTTCGGGACTTGGGGGAAGGGTATCCTGTGTGATATTGAACAAATCATGCGAAAGTACCAGAAACCCTGGTGTGGAATTCATGCCCAACATGGCCTTTAAGTTTCAAGGGCAGTGTTTTGTCATGTTATGTGACAAATGTGACCAAAGGAATTCAGCAAGGGTCCGAACAAAGAAAGCCAAATTTTGATTGTAGTACCGTGCAAGCATATTATGTATCTACACGATACGAACGCAACACGGAAAAAAAAAACTAAAGTATTTCCCTGTACTGACTTTGCCGAAAGGTGTTTGGATCCTCTTATGCCGTTTAATGGTGGGGTGGACCGTATTGTTACGTTAAAACCGTCGGTCGTATCGTCGACAGCTTTCAAAGTTACAACTTGCAGATTTAAATTTTCATTTCAATGTAATTGCTGGTCAATTTGGGCACATTTACTTGTCGCAATTTCGGTGTAGGACTTTGTTGAGCAAACCGTTGGCCAATGACCATTGGATCGGACAATACACAAGCGCAGGGCGCGCAAATGGGGGGGCATCCGGGAAAAACGCGCATAATATCGTTCCCATTGCACTTATGTATGCCACCAAATCAGAATTCACACCTCAAGAAGCGCGCCCTGATTCACAGTAGGAATATGATCAATCCGACAATCGGCATTCAACCCCATGCTGTCGAATGTGGCATGTCCCTTGGGCGTTAATGACATTCATTCTCATATCTTCGCTTCAATTCGGCGACATACATGCAATACAGAAGCGATATGGATCCGATACTCAGTGACGGTATTTGCTGCATGCTGTACCCTACTGCTCATACCGCGTCACCTTGTCATTCAGGTCGGCCTGGAGCTTCTTGATGCACCGCTCCAGCCTGAAGAGGCTGGCATCGGCAGTTTTTATGACGGTGTTGAGTCTTGCCAGGTACGCCTGGATGAGGGCCTCCTGGCGCTGCAGCTGCAGCTGGACCTTGTCGTTCACCATTTCGCGGGTGGGCCGCTCGCACCGCACCTGGTCACACATTCGCGCACGCATTCGGCCCCGCTGCCATTCAAGGTTGATGACAACCATTTACGAAGTCCATCTAATAGATTTAATGAACGTTCAGTAGGTCTAGGAGCACTATTTTTTGTTCTGTGCAGGTCTAAAAGCATGGATATGTTACGAGAAATGAATATGACTACAAATGTAAATTCTGAACAGTGGTATATTCGACCCTTTTGAAAATCTCCCTATGTGTCCCCCGAGCTTTGGGGCTTTGCTTGGCGCCAAGCGCCACGAGGACATCACGCCTTGCAGGATTGATGCCGGGAACAATTTTATGGGAAAAGCAAGAGACGGAGCAGCAACATCAGCATAGGTCTCTGTTGCACTGACTTTCCTGAAAGACTGTTCAGCGCGAACATACATAATGACGCCGCATTCATGTATTTCTATTGGCAGTTTATAATGCCACGGGAGTACTGTTTGTGACCTATGTATTATAGGTGCAACGACACAGACGAAAACCAGGTTACGTGATCCCACCTTTAGTCTTGCTTCGTTGAGATCCAGTTTTTGTTGCATCTTTTGAGACTTTTTCCTCAGCCTGCGTCGGCATGCCTCTAGCTTCTGCCTCTCGTTCTTGGTGCGCGTTATTGCATTCTCTAACGCACTCTGCCCGCAAACAGTCACTCACAGAGTCAAGAAACATCCATTGCGTCGCCTCATGCCGCTCCGCTTTTACTGCTTCCGTATCGATCTTTTGACATCACTTAGTGACGCCATGTAGCGGCGCACAGCTGCTGGGGATTTTGACCCACGGTGAGCTCAGCAGCAGCCATAATAATCGTGCTACTTAAACGCTCAATCACATATTACTAACACCGGCTGGCTCCTCACACAATCTTGACGAGCATATACCCATGAATATGAATGGCACAATAAAATTAGATAATACGTCTTTGACTCACTTATTTCTTACATAGAGTACAATCTGTCGGGAATGCGCTTGAACGCGCTCAGCAATGTGCTCGATTGAGGGTATCCGTGAAGCCACGGTGAAATTCGCGGATGGAAGCTGATTAGTAGACCGCTCGAATTTCAGGTAGCCTTTCCTTAAGGAATTGTTCCCTACATCAAGCTTGATGTAGGGAACAATAAAAAATCAGTCTCCCACAAGCGAGGTGGTGTCGATGAAATTCCAGTACGCATTGCCAAATGGCTTCACATGCATATTAACTGTTGTGGAAAAACATAGTACGTACAACACATTGTGTTTTATAGGATATGTTACATTTGAGGATGATTTCATATGCAGCGGCGGCGGGTGAGGCCATCCGCCAAATTTTCAGAAAGGGCTGGTTAGAGTTTTTGAGCACTGAGCATCGACTGATCAGTGCATTGAATATGGGAATTCAGCTTCTGAAGTTATCATGAACAATAACCGTGACAAAAAGTTGCACCATGACAACAACTGATCGTCGAAATAATGAAACCTGCTATCCTACTGAACTGTGCTTCATGTACTTGCGACTCCATCGTGATGCATTTGCATTACCCCAGAATATGTTATTTTGTAGATTAATTTCATACAGATTCTACGTACTGCTGTTTGCGAGTAGACTTCGAGTCGCATTCGATTTCAACCGATACATTATTCTTCCCTGATTCCTGGTCATTCACCCAATCGTGGTGCAAAGCGGCCTTGGTGCCGCGCAATGCTGAAAAATGCGACTTGGGCGTGTGGAAAGCATTAAACACTCAGATAATTGGCGAAAATTCGTCAGTACTTCAATATCAAATTGATTGATGCTGTGTTGGTTGTCGCCCGCGGTAATCACCTTGAGGTTTTCTGTTTTCTCAATCTTGCTCTGAAGCGCCTTTTCCACTTTTGCTTGATCCTTCTCTGCCTTAAATTTGAGTTGATCCTGAATAGGGAACAAATCATCGCCCAGCTTATCGAGGCTGAAAATGACGCGGAAATGGACAACAAAATGAAAGCAACATATGACAATTTCTTTGGGAAGCACCACGTGAAATTATCCGCGCACCAAAAAAAATCCATTGCATGGTATGCAGAGGAAATAACAGCAGACAATGTATTGGTGCGAGGCTGGCTTGCCTGAAGTTTCTTGCTTGCGTTTCTGAGGCTCTTGGACATGAAGGCCTCGTGGTTTGCCAAGGTTATCGTCTCCTCCGCCTGCAA